CCCCAAAACCCCAAAACCCCAAAACCCCAAAACCCCAAAACCCCAAAACCCCAAAACCCCACGGTGTTTGGATTCATTGAAACACAAGTTTGCAATTGAGAATTATTACTCAAAAAAATTAGGTTAATCGTATTTGAGTAAAGCACTCATCTGAAATATTTTGGCTTTGGGTTACTTGGAGTGGCCTCAAATTTCTAAGTGAGCAAACCCGTGCTTGCTCATGATTCTCTTGATTACCTTTAACTGCATTCCGCACTGTTTCATCCAGATCTTCTGCAAGTTGGCTCTGAAGTCCTCTTCCTTCGAAAGACCTTCGACCAAGTTTTCGAAGTTGAGTTGGTTGTTGGCCCAGTTGCTGTAACCCTTTCTTCCTCAAGCATTCAAATCCAGCACTTTGAGAGTGCTGCCTTTGAGCTTGCCTCCGAAGTCAGGAACGGTTGGAAGTCCAAACTTGCAATGCTGGAGCCCGAACCTTTGCATGTTTTTGTTGGCACATACAAGCATTACTAAATGGGACTCACAAATTTCAAAGTTGTAGATGGAGAACACCTCACGGACTCAGGTACTCGATACTGTCAATGCCTCCGCGTAATAGTCCAGACCTGTAGACAGAGTCGAAGAACAGTTGAAGTTGAAGAATTTCAGCTCTATAGGGAAGTATCTTTGCAGGAAATCTTTCACATGCTGGTTGTTGGCAGGCACTTTATTCAGGTCCATTCTGTTAAGTATAGGTATTCTGCGGTCCAGAAAGGCCAGGAAGTTCATGTCGCGGAGGTTTGTCAGTTCGAGTCTTATTGTGTTACCCGAGGTGACATCTATGGGTTTGGACTGTCCACTGTTAACAGTATTTGTGGGCACAGTGCTCGGGCTTTGTGAAGAACTGATACCTATTAAGTTCAGGAAACTCGAATTATACTCTCTGTTTTATAGTTTCAATAATGTTACGAGTCCATTGAACTTCAGATGCTAATAAACAGTTGTGGCTAAGAAAGGAAGCACTCACAAAGGGTGATCATGCAATCGTAAATTAGGATATAGTTGATCTAATAGAGACATGCAGGAAACCCTGTTTGCATGATTTATGACCATTACAGAGTTTTAGTTCTTAAGTTACATTGAGAGGCTATCATCTTACCTAGACTTTTTGCACTAAGGTTCCATTTGTAATCTTCATTCTGTTGTTGCAACTTCTTGTTCTTTTGATCTAGAACCTCGATGGCGAGCTTATTCTGTTTAAGTTCTTCCTGAAGAATGTTCTGCTGTTTGGGCACTAGCCCACTAAACCATGCTGGGATTTCTGAATCTTCGTCAAGTTTCCTAAATAATTTTAGTTAGAGATCGAGATGCAATAACCGTTTGAGAGATTGTTTCTCTCTAAGCTGAAGTCATGAAAGTGAGCTTTGGAGAAGTAAGAGAGCCTTCGAATGTATTATCCGTCTGGAGAATGCATTAATTAGAGCATTAGCAACTAAAGCACTTGGGAGTTCTCTCTCTAAGGCTGATATGTTTTAATGCTCAACAAGATATTTAAAATTATTCAGGTTTATCTCGAGTGATTCATTAAAAGAAGTCGTCTTAAATTAATTAGCAAAGAACTCAGAGACAAATCATGATATAGTTACGAGAATTAGCCTAAGACGGTACAGTTGAAGTATTTGCTCACATAATTTAACGCAATCATTGAAAATATCTTATCGAGAGGAGCAACACTGAGCTATTGTTAGGTTTATTGAACCAAACTGAAGAAGACAAGGCCATCATATCTCCCCACCAGATATTAAAGATATACTTACTCTTGCATGATTTTCCACATGATGTTGCAAGCAAATCTCGAGAAAGTCTCATCACCATCCATGTCTGCTTGGATATTTCTAGCTTTCTGGGCTAGATCCCCAAAATCCAGATAAGACCCTTGTTCATAAGCGTGAATGGTATCATCTCTGAGTTTCTGCACTTGGAGGGTGAACTCTTGTTGAAATTTTAGTGTTCTCTCATCAGGCTTCTCCTGACATTCTTTTTGGGTGAAATACTTGAAGAGTCTGAGCATTTGCTCGATAACTCCAACCTTCTTTGCAACAAGTTTCGGAGAGATGAGTCTTTCCCCCTCGGCTTGTTCATATGTTTCGTCGAAATGTTTATAACAGTTGTACAGTTTCAACTTCTTCACAAACATTCTAGCAGTTTGATCTCAATTAGAGACAAGACACTTCGGCAAATCTTCCATTTTGTGTTTCAAATAAATTTATAATAATTTAAGCCTGTCTTTAATAGGTTCAGTCTCTGGGATTATCTCGGGGTTTTGGGGTTTTGGGGTTTTGGGGTTTTGGGG